GGCTTTAGTCACACACTGTCCCCTCCTCCTCTCCTCCTCTTTTTTTCCCTTTCCTGCATGTGGTTCTCATTGAGAGAGCTCAGACCTTACATCTTTTCCCCCTCCTTTTCCCTCTTTTTCGGGGTCATGTGGCCGCCCCGGGGGAAAATGTAAGTTGATACCCCACCCCATGCTATGAATCCAGCCCCCCACATGACCCCCGTCCCAAACCCAGAATTCAGCCTTTCTTTTACTCTGTTTACATTAGTAACATAGCTCCCAGACATGCTTACAAACAAACTTCAGGAAGCATTGCTTTTCTTATATACTTGTAGGATCAATCATTCTTGATGATGACATAATTACACTACCGTTCAAAAGTTTCCTTTTTAAAATAAATTAATAGCTTTATTCATCAAGGACACATTCAATTGATCAAATGTGTTAGCAGAGGCAATTATAATGTTACAAAAGATTATGATTATAGTTCAAATAAATGCTGTTCTTTTGAACTTGCTGTTTATCAAAAAATCTTGAAAAATTAATAAATCTGCCAAAATATAAAGGGGGGCTAGACTGCTAAAAATTCAGGTTTTCCATCACAGGAATAAATTACATTTTAAAGTATATTAATATCGAAAACATTAATTTTATGTTGTAACAGTATCTCACATTAAATATTTTTCTTTATTTTTCATAAAATAAATGGTGAGCTTAAGAGACTCCAAGCGTTTGAAAGGTACTGTTTCTTGCACTTTTTTTGCACCAGGCGTTGATTTTTACTGAAATAGATTTCACCTTTTATCTTTTTGTCACAGTATATGAAGGTCAACATTAAAACTGTCTTGGAAACTTTTTAGTACATTTCCATTTATGCATTTAGCATTTTATCCACAGGAACAAAAGACATTTGTCACAAAGGCACATCATCCCCTCATTTATTTTTTGCAATTTTTAAAATCAATTAAAATGATTTAGAAAATATTATTTATTTGTGTGTATTTAGGATAAATACTTATTTAGGATATGAAATGCTAGATATGATAATAGCTTTCCGCAAGACAAAGACTCAGCCATTTTATTCCTAAAATTGTTATTTCTATCACTGTCATTTCCACTAAAATGACAGTGACATTGTGGTGGAAATATTCATTATTATATAGAAAAATATTTTTTTTTTCTCTAAAAGTCAAGAAGGTCCACATTTTAAGAAACACAAATACAGGGTTTTCGGACGAAAAGTTTCAAAATATACTTTTTTTTTTGAGTAACTTATGAGTGATGTGTTTTTATATTTGACAATAATCCAGAAATGGTCAAATGGTGACCAGTACATGTTAAATATAACATTTCCTAAAACATTCTTTCATCTTATTAGACTTATATTGTACTATTATCACCTTACAGAATATTGCTTGACATTCTTTAAAAGTGAAATGTGTAATTTCCCCATTTGGTCGAGGAAGCTGGTTTCCCTGCCCAAACTCATGCCATTGGGTCAGCAATTGTTATATTAGGTAGCTCAAACAAACAGAGCAATGTTTTGTAACCACCACAGTCACACAGTGTGTACACTTTTCAGAAAATACACCAACGAATAGCTTCTTTATAGTTTTCTCTGCATATTAAACTGGCATTTTAAGCAGAAAAAAATTACACAATTCACTTTTAATTGTCAAACTAATCAGCATGTGTCTAGCAGATTTAAAAATCAATATATTTACACTCTCTCTGGTCTCATTTACTCCCTGGTTCACCACACACAGACACATTCACACACATAAACACTACTAAAGCAACAGCCTTGTTAACCCGGTAACTATGGTAAACTACGCACCATTCAGGCCTGTATGACTGTTTAGGTCTCTCTCCAGACAATAACGGCACTCAGCATTTGCAGTCTTCAACACTTTACTGAGCCTTGTTTAACAAGTCCGGCCCTCACTTAAACACTGACCCACAAGCCCACACAGAGAAAGGGGAATTTGTTGATATCAGGAAGAAATGAAGTCCTTCAGTTAAGTTATCTGAAGTTTCTATTTGAGTTTCTATTATACATGCAGTTGCCATATAGGATTGTGATGATGTTTTGAATTAAAGGAATAGTTTAACAACCCCCAAAAAATAAATTATCCTGCTTAAGCCTGAGAAACAACCCTTACAAAAATAAGTATACTACTTGTTAATTTTATTTAGTGTATTTATAATTATACTTTATGTAGTAAATATCAATGTACTAGTAGCACATTTTTTTAAACATCCCCCGTTTTTTTCATTGTTGTTTTTTTTTCACAAATCACACCCTGCTTTTAAGTACTGTATATTTCGATTGAGTATAGGAGTATAGGCCAAATATACTTTGTACAGGCTAAATATACATGGGGCCCTATTATACACCTGGCGCAATGCCAGTTTTTTTTTTTTTTTTCTAGTTTCAGCCCAACGCAGTTATCATTTTCACGTCCTGCGCTACGTTGTTTAAATAGCAAATGCATTTGCGCCCATTTGTGCACCAATGGGCATGCTGGTCTGAAAACGAGATGTGTTCAGGCGCATTGTTGGCGTGTTAGTATTATGAGGCAACTGAAATAGACTGCGCCATTGGCTTTTAAAGGGAATGGGAGATGAGACTCTGGTTGGTTTATTTCACGTTACGCCCAAACACACCCATTACTCATTAAGAGAATAGGGACAACCCTTTTAGACCATGTGCTGGGCGCGTCGACCATTTTTCCCGTCTTAAACAAGCAAAAGTGGATTTTTTTGGACACGACCTTACTGCACTTACGCCCTGCACTTTAAACCATGCGCTTAAAATAGGGCCCTTAGACTTTTCTATCAGTGTAAGTCGGGCATATTTAAGTGCAGTTTTATTCAGTCCACACTTTAAACAACGAACCATCCCTGGAAGAACATGCAGTCCACTAAAATTTCCCTGGACCCCTATTTCAGTGATGTCTGTCAGTTAGTGGGAACATTGTATGTGTGATATTAGCTAATAGCATCTTTGAATAATTGTTGTGGAGCATTTTGAGCTTGTGGTGCTGGGGTTTTAGTAAATGTTAGGGCAGAGGATTACCATGTATTTCTCAATTAATCTTTCTTTTTTTTGCTTGTCTCCATTAACAGATAAAAAAAGAAAATTTTAATAATCACAGGAAATCAGCCCTGTCATCTTACAGGACTATGTGCTGACCTATGATTCACCATGGGAATGCAGAGTTCTGCACTCCCTCACACACACAAACACAGAAAGTTTCAAGCCATTACCCACATTCCTGTTGTCTCCCACTTACACAGTCCTGCCCTCTCAAATGCACATGAACACTCATAAGCCAGTCTTGTGGTTTTACAGTTTTCTTTGGAAAATAAGTAACTACCTACCTAACAACCACCCATATCCTCTTAGTGACCACTTGGCAATACCCTAGAAATCACCTCATGTTTTACATGGGCATTTGAAAAACAATGAAATCAAAATGCAATTTTGATTTGGAGCCAGCCGTTTTTATACCCCTTTTCCACCAAAAAAAGAACCGGTTCGGAACTGGTGCTGGTTCAAAGTTGGTTCGGAGTTGGTTCAACTTGCGAACCGCTTCAGAACCTATTTGTTTTTCCACTGACTAGAGCGCCCAGGGAACGACGTCGTTACGTCACTGTGTACGTCGCCATACGTCTTAGCTAGAAACGCTTGCAAACACAACATTACTTTCGTTTCGGATTATCTCTAACTCCAAGAAAGCTTTAAAACAATTGAAATATGTAAGTCTTTTAATATTTTTGTTTGATATGTCATTTTTTCTGATAAGTTATATAGCCTACCCCTGTAATTGTTCCATTTATTTGTTCTATATTGTGACTTTTCTTCTTTGCTTATAATGTCTTCAATAAAAAAATTACAAAAATAGAAACGCTTGCGTTAACTTCAAGCATAACAATTACAAAGGCGGACTCCATCGTGTTTCTGCGAATGTTTCTTTTGGCTTTGCGATCGTTTATTTTGGTCAGAAAAGATGTTTAGAACACATCTAAACCCGCCCCAGATCCCGACGTAAGCATGATGTGGTAAAAGAACGGTTCTAGTCCAGCAAAGAGTTGGTGCCGCTTTGGAACCAGTTTTCCTGGCCGAGAACCGGTTCTTTGGCTGTCGAAACACAAAGAACTGGTTCGCGCGCAGGCACCGGCTCCGACCCGGCTCTCAAAATGCTTTGGTGGAAAAGGGGCTTTAAATGTGCAGAGAATAGAATAGGGCCCAGAACATAACCCTGGGGGACTCCCATGAAGATATGGACTGCCTGGTTATTTACGCCATCTTGGTTGTGGCTGTCCAGATATTATGCTTCACTTACATATGGATAAATTCAGGTAAATGTTGTTGAGTACTGAGATAGGATGTCCTGCAAAAAGATAAACCATCTCAATAGGATGCTATCAATCAGTTCTTCATTAGAGAGTGGCTGGCTGTAATTTACTTTTAGAGAGGCTAATGCAAGCCCCCTGGAGTTTGACAAATGGCCTTTATAGGACCCTGAGAGCAAGAGGAAAACATTCTCTTTCCTGATGAGACAAGAATTAAGGTCTTCAGGGTAAGAGATGACTCAGAAGACTATATAACTTTTTCCATTGCTCTCAGGTCATGCCATAAATTCAAAGGTCAGACGGATTTGTGGCACTGCCCGGTGAAGTGTTCATTCCTGTCCAAAAGTTCTTCGACTAGCATTTTTGCCAACACAGTTTTGTCTATGTTTGAGAAATACATTTTGTCATTATAATGTTTTATACATGAAACATCTACTTGTTGTGACAAATTAATTTACAATTCATACATACCTTAATTATTTAGCTTTTTTTTTCAATTTCAGTAATAGATTGAGAGAACCAATTATGCGGTTTAAAATAACCTAGTCATGACATTGATCAAGATTATAGTTTATAGTTGAGGAAAAAGAGAATAGAGAAAAAAATTGCAAAATGTAGCAGTTATTTCAGTCATACGAACAACATATGATTCTTAATTCTTT